AATGTTTACCTGGGATCAGTGTGTCAGTCATACAGCAGCCCAGCTGGAACAGTGTGTAGTTGTCTGCTGTGCTGTGGGTGTATCTGGGATCAGTGTGTCAGTCATACAGCAGCCCAGCTGGAACAGTGTGTAGTTGTGTCTGCTGTGCTGTGGCTGTATCTGGGATCAGTCTGTCAGTCATACAGCATCCCAGTTGGAACAGTGTGTCGTTGTGTCTGCTGTGCTGTGGGTTTACCTGGGATCAGTGCGTCCCTGCGGCAGTCATACAGCATCCCCAGCTGGAAGGGTCTGCCCAGAGCTGCCATCTCAAAAGGAACAGTTCCTACAGATGACATGGCTGGTGGTGGACTGGATACTGTAGAAAGAAGGTTTAAAGTCAACAGTTATATATGTTTGTATCTTTACATATATAATTTAGGTTTTACATTAATGGATGTAGCTGTGAATCTGGGTATCCAGATAGATTAAATTCCTGGTCGATGAAGCTTGGCTCTGGGAACCTTCACTTATCTACTACTTGGATTTCTGTCCGTATTAAGCTATAAAAATTCTTCGATCTTAAAAAAACGGCATGGGCACTAAGTTGTTGAAAAATATATGTATAGAGAATCCTGGTTTGTATCCACCTGGTTACCACCACCCTGAAGTCCTGCTTTGAAATAATACAGGAGTTACCCAGTGGAGACGCACTTTCTTTCCCCTAGACAACACCCAAGCAGCTCTTTTACAAAGTGAAACACTGTTGCCTTATTTTCTACAAAGAGATGGTGAGCTGTTGCATGTTTCTAGACCTATTTGTTTCTATTGTCATGACATTACTGCTGTCTATAATATTTTTTGTCCGCTGTTTCAACTGTACTTATCATTCAATACGCACTTAAAACTTCCATGTTCATATATTTAATACTTTGATCACCCCCTGAAAATCAGGTAAAATATCTCATTACTACCTGGTTCAACTAAATCAGTTTTTTTCCCCTCTTCGAGAGTTGATGCTTTTTCTCCTAGTGACACTCAGTATAAAAGAGTCCAGCCATGTAGTCCAGATGGATAGTGAGCCTTCACACCCAACACCAGCCTGAGGTGGAGCCCAGTCTAATTTCTGGTCTCTTTCTTGCTCTATTTATTAGCCATAGAGATAGTCTGGTCTGCCACAGTTCTGCTTGGTCAGTTCAAATCTGGGATTAAAATATCTCACCTACAGGAATTTTGTTTTTTTCAGGAGATCTTGGCAAAATGTCCTATATTTGTTAAATCCTGTGACTATTCAGGTGTGATTCTCACAGGTTTGATATTTTAGAGTTCTTAAC